TTAACCCCCGCCAAAAAAAAAAAACAAAAAAACTCCCCTCCCCCCCGAAAAAACAACATCCAGTATACAGAAATAGAACAACCTCGCCCCCCCCCAAGAATCCACCCACCCAAATAATCTGAAAAAATATTGATCCACAAATAGGTGATAAGTGAATTGATTAATTGACTTTCCCACTTGCTTGCAAGCAACAATTCAAGGCAAAGCCGTGCGTTGTCTTCTACAGGCAAACGTCACCCGAGAGGGCTGCAGTAGCACCAACCTGTGTCTGGAGATGCCAAACAACTGCGATCCTGCGGGCAACAACACCAGCTGTCTGTTTGTGTCCTTGAACGCGGACACGCCCATGTCTCCCAATGGCTTCAACCTGTTGGTCGGTCTTAGCGGAAATTCCTCGGGAGCGATCGCCTTTGGACTCACGCAGGATTTCACAATGGTGAGAGTGAGACGACGACATGAAACAATTTCACCCTTGCAATATGTTTCTCGGTTGAATGAGAAAATGTCTCATGAGGAAATCTCATCCTAATGAAAAACTTTTTTTTTCCTCCCAAATTCCAGGCCTAAAAAAAAAAATTAAACATTGCAATTACTAATCTCTGCAACACTCACAGAGGCATACCAAATTCTGTAAAGATTTAGAAATTTTCTACTTTCCATTATTACCAGGAGTATACTGTCACCGCCTAGTACAAATCCCACATCAAAACATTTTGTCAACTTGTGTTTTTATACCCGAAAAAAAAAGCCTGCCTAGCATTGCCAAATTCGGAGAATTCTCAAAACTGTGAACTTTTCACCCTCACAAAGGGGAATAGATGGGGAAACGGCGGCAGCATATCGTCAGCACCAAATAGAAATGACTTTGCTCCACACCTTAAGAATCTTAAATCCAAAAAGTCCAAAAATTGTGGTAATTTTGCCGAATTGTAAACATCATGCGAATTACAAGCATGTTGTCGCCGCCCAATAGAAAGGTCATTTGGGAGTTTTTTTTTGTTTTGTTTTTTACCTGAACCCCCCCAAAATAAATACATAAATAAAATAAAATAAACAGACGATTGTTGCCAAATTTTTGTAATTTTCCAAATTACAAAAATCCACTACCAGGGTCAAAGTCACCCCAGTAGTGGATCGCTCCATTTTTTTTTTTTTTTACCCAAATGGAGTTATTTTTGACCAAACTGTTTTTCGAGTGTAATGTTTGATTGGCTTCGGTTTTGGAAAGCATGAATGAACTTTTCAGTCTTTGTCACCACACAGAGTGTCACCCAGCTGTTTGTGTGCGGAATGGACAGCAACGGGGATTTTGTCTTTGAAACCGTGCAGAGAAGCTCAAATGGTACTCTGACGCCAAACGAGAGGGTAAGCTTTCCTTCCTTCCTTTCTTTCTTCGCCACGGCGAAACTCGCTGTCCTAAAGTGTCTTGTGGTTAAGCAGCGTTGAAATGAGCTCATGTGACGACTCCGCCTTCGATTAGTCAGTCTCCCTTTTGGTAAAACCTGCTCCTGTGTCAACTCCCCCAAAAAAACTTGGCAGCAGGACAGCAAATTTTTTTTCTCCGCAAAGCCGAGAACAAGCTGTTCAAATAATTGGTCAACAAATTTTGACTCCATTTTTTGAATCAGAAATGCAAGTCATCTTTTCTCAATGCATTTTTGCGCAAATTCCGAATCTCTTTGTTTTTCCTCTGGCATATCAGGTTTTCATCATCATAACAGAACAAAAAATAGAATAGCCCGAGAAGTCAACACAGTCGAGTCCTCAGAGCGGTTCGTTCGGTGTACATTGAGAAGTCAACACAGGTTACGTTGCAGTCGAGTCCTCAGAGCGGTTCGTTCGGTGTACATGAACAACAAACAGAATGATTATTTTTGGAGTGGTAGGAAGTTGATGCTTCATTATTTCTTCTGACCTTATCAATCCCTCAGACCACGATGCAGATCCAGTACAGACTGGTAGACACCCTCATCCAATGTGAATTTCTCGTTCCAAATGTAAACACAAGTATGATGGGCGAGATGATGGACGGCACCACGGGCGTTGTCGTTCTGGGAGAAGCAATGGTGAACAATGACACCAGTAAGTGATGCGTTTTCACACCCAAACGGGTTCATAAACAAGGTTATAACCCGGACCGCTCCTTGCAGCAGGTCTCAGACCGTTTAATGTGGTCCATACCTCCATCCATCCATCCATTTTCCGCTTCATCCTCACAAGGGTCGCGAGGGGTGCTTGAGCCTATCCAAGACGTCTTCGGACATTAGGCGGGGGACACCCTGAACCGGTTGCCAGCCAATCGCAGGGCACACAGAGACAAACAACCATTCGCGCTCACAATCACACCTAGGGACAATTTAGAGTGTTCGATCAGAAACTGATTGCAGGCCATGCATGTTTTTGGAATGCGGGAGGAAACCGGAGTACCCGGAGAAAACCCACGCAGGCACGGGGAGAACATGGAAACTCCACACAGGAAGGCCGGACCTGGAATTGAACCCGGTACCTCTGTAATGTGGGGCCGACGCGCTAACCACTCGCACACCGGGCCGCTGGGCCACAGCTGTAAACTCTCATCATCATTGAGGGATCGAGAATGACAGGGAAGATATCATTGCCGACCAATAGAAACTGCGTCGTTCCGCAATTTGTGAAGCTTAACCCATTTAATCTCAAATTTCTCCCAGATATTTAAAAGTCAAAATCAGGTGTCATTGGTAGCCCTTTTAAGTAATCAGTAATAAAAAATTTTAGAGCCCTCTAAATTAAATCATTGTTGTCCTTCACGAATGGCGGGATTAAATGGGTTTAAGAGTCGTGTCTCTTTATTCAAAATGCAAAAAAAATAAAATAAAATAAAAAGCGTAGGGTCTCCAAATTCATTTTTCAAAATGGGAAACTTAACAGAATCAATGAGGGGAATTTATGGCAATTACCAAGAATATTTTATTGCCGCCCGAAACAAATCTCTAGATTCTATGAATCCGAAACAGAGAACCACTGTTTCCCAATTCCGTAAATTTTTTTTTTTCAAAATAATGAACACCATCACAATATTCACATTCTGAAAAACACTCGCACCTGGTTAAAACCAGACCGCACCGGCTCAGGCCAACGAGACTTCCACTAAAATCAACTAATGGTACGAGTGCCAGCGTGAAAGGTTCTGAGTACGATAAGACAAGAGATTCGTATCTGGGAGTGGACACTTCAAAGTGTCTCAAGCAATTGTGGTTCCGTCCTCTTCAGGGAGGACCGAGAACTTCACGGCCATTCTGACCAGCGGGCGGGTGAACCTTACCGACGTGGAAGGCACCGTCATTGTCCCAAGAGTTCTGGACATCAGTCAAAACGGCTGTGGAAACACCAAACTGTGCGTCAGATCGCCCAGCGAATGCAACCCTCAGGCCGCTGGCGAGTGTTTGTTCACGTCATTGGACACCACCGATACCTCGAGCGGAACCTTCAACATCTTGGTGGAGCTCGCCGGAGAGTCCGACGGATACATCGGCATGGGACTTACGGCGGATGCGTCAGAGGTGAGGCACGATGGGAATTGATGACTGTTCGGAAACAAGTGGGCTGATATTCGGGGGATTTTGACCCCAAATTATTTATGGGAATTACCAACGATTTTGGTGTCCGAAAGAAAGCTCCAAATTCAAAATACAACAAAAAAAAAAAACCATTTAGTTTTGCGGAAACCTGGGAGTTAATTGTGATTTTTTTTTCTTTTAAACCTTTCATGCGCCAATCATGATCGCCTGTAATCTGTGCACTGTAGTGACCACTGTCCCTGAAAAGGTTAATTCTGAACCAAAATCCCGATTCTGTGGAATTCATGGCAATTACCAGGAATTAATTGTTTCTGGTCAACCAAATTCATCAATCTCAAAAGCTGATGAATTGCGCAGTGCTCTGCTAAATACAACGGAGTCTAACTGAGACGCAAAACATTGGGATTTTATTTTTTTTATTGTGAATTTTAAATCACGATTCAGGGGAAATTATGGGAATTACCGGTACAAGGAGCATGCCCCCTGAGCCCAAACCCCAAAAGAAATATCTCAAAATTTGAGAAATATCAGAAATATAAGAGTCTGCCTAAATGAAAAAAAAAAATCCTGGATTTTTTTTTTTTAAATTGTGAATTTAATATAATACGTGGAAATACATAGTATCGATTATAAATCTTCAGTGTTGTGATTTTTAGAAAAAACATCTCTCCATCAAAAGCTGGAAATGTGAATCCCAAATACAAACAATAGAACTAAATAATTTAATCCATCCATTCCACCATTTTGGACTACTGGCCAGGAACCAAGACAGCGCCCCATCCACCCACCACTGATGCCTTTCTCTTTCTGTCTCCTCAGGGCGTCACCAATCTGTATATCTGCGGAAGAAACGGCAGTGACAACTCTTTTCTATTCCGCCAACTGGACCGAAACAACACCGACTTTTCACTCACCGAAGTGAACAGGGTGAGCTTTCCGATTTCCTTCCAGATACTGAATTGAAATCTACCAGAGCAAGTGGGAGTAAGTCACTGATATGCAAGTCTCGATTCTTAGTTGAATTTTCAAGCAAGTCCCAAGGTAATGTGGCAAAAAAAAAAAAAAAAACTCAACTCAAGTTGAGTCGGTACAAAATCAATCAAGTCAAGTCACCTTCAATCATTGGAGATTTCCTGAAGTGGCTTCTACACTCCGCATTGTAGCGTACTGGTTGGCTACCCGGTTTTACGTTTAGTGCACACCTAAATACACACACACACACACACGCACACGCACACACACACACACACACACACACACACGCACACACACACACAGTACTGTAGTAACCGCTGTCCCTTAAAGGGTTCAACTATGACGAACGAATTGAAATTGGCAGCCATCTTGTTTTTTAAAGACAACCAACATAAAGCTCTCCAATATCCATTCGCCCATCATCCCTCCATCGACAATATTTAGCAACCCCAATGCAACATGACAATTGGAATGAAGGAGAGTCTTTGCTAACTTTTAGCCAAGCAAGCCCCAAGTCCTCAAACTGATGACTTACGTCTGACTCCAAGTCACGTCACGTGACTGAAGTCCCATAACTTCGGTATCAACAGCTTGTTTTGGTTCCTCGGCAAATCCTCATTTGCCCTTCGTTCGACTCAATCCGTGTCACCTTCATAGGAAGTGGTCGACATCCTCGGCGCTGTGAGTGGCACGTCCATCCAATGTATCTTCACCATCGTCGGCATAAACGCCGCAGCCACGAGCAGACAGGCTGTCACCGGAACGCGCAACATCATCTTGCTGGGAAACGGAGATATAAACGGAGGTAAAGTGAGAAGCTCAAATCCATTGGCCACGTTGAAGACATTCCTCACCTCTGCTTTCCCCCTCCTCCCCCAGCTGAAATTGGTGACTTTAACATCGTCCAAAACAGCGGACTTTTGGACATCACGGACGCCGCAGCGAACGTCAATGCCAATCCAGCGGTTGAGGCGGCTTTGAACATCACCCGGGACGGCTGTGGCACGACAAATCTGTGTTTGGAGACGCCAGAAGATTGCGACCCCTTGACTGACCCCATGTGTCACATTGTGTCAAGCAATGCCACAGTTTCCAATACCAACGTTTTCAATTTAACCAGCAGACTCAGCGGATATTCCACGGGATATACCGCGCTCGGACTGGCCCGGAATGCATCGCAGGTGAGCCAAACTGTCAGATCAAGAAACCACAGGGAGGGAGTAGAAAACCAAAGTGTCAATGGCCACAATTTATTTATTTTTTCCTCCATTTGTTCACAGGGCACAAGCTCCATTTTTGCCTGTGGAAACAACACTGACACTGGGGAACTCTTCTTCAGAACCTTCACCCGAAACAACACTGATTTCAGTTTAACTTCGAATGACAGGGTGCGGCTTCTACTTGACCATTGCCATCTCCTCACATAACTACATACTTTCTCTTTTCTCCACTCTCAAACATAACCCACACAAACATCCCCATAATCCAAACACTCAAATAATCCTCAAAAAAGATCCTACAGTAAATTTCCTTAAATTAAACAACAGTTCCCGAACAATCAATATGTCAATGACTTTAAATGCTCCAAAAGGGCAATCGTCCGAAATCGTCCACTTGCCGGTTTGGTAAGTTACCCAATAAATTCGTCCATCAAAATTTATGAGCGTGAGGTTTCTAAACCACTAGCAAGGATCAATAAGGTAGTGCTCCAAACAGTTAACTAGTCCTCTAAAAGTGCCCAGCGTTGCGTTCCTGAAACTGTCGAGAGGTACCATCATCCCCTCAGCACGCTAGGAGTCTTACCTCGGAACTAAAGTCAGTTTTTACGGCCCCAAAACTCAATTGGTCCTCTAAAAGTGCCAAGTGTCAGGATCCTCAACTTTCTGAGTCGACGAGCGCCGAGCAGGGTCAGAAACTTATCCTAGCACAAAATCCAGAGCATTCAAGTTCATTGCTACAAAACAAACAATACGTTGGCAAATGCATGTACCGCCTTTTGTCCACAGATCGTTCGTGATGTCTTCATTGAAGTGACGAACAAGCGCATCGAATGCCAGTTCACCATCTTGAATTTAAATGACGTGGAAACCAGGGAAACCAACGGAACCCTGGCAGATGTTTTAATAGCAAATGGAACGTTGAATGGAGGTAAGTCGGAACGCGCTCAACCAAAAGTCAGCAAGGGGGTGCTTTGGAAGGTCATTCACCTGTCCGTCATCACGCTGCAGGTGTTCTCAGCCCGTTAAATATATTACTGCGCCAGACGGTGAACCTCACCTCACCCACCGGCACCATTACCATCATTGTGAATGGCGCCCGGGCCACAAGGAGTAGTGACGGTAAGCCCAAGAGTGTATTTGAAATCGGGTCTTGGCTGGGGTGGGGAAAAATTTCATGGTGGTGGGTTTTGAGCATTGGAGCAGTTTTCTGTTGATGTGGGGCTATGGTGTTCATCATGTTCTGGTGTTGGGGTTCTCGACTGGTCTCACTGTGGTTGTTGAGTTTCAAACCCCTTTTAGCCAAGTGAAATGGAGAAAAAGAGCCTTTGCAAACACACCTGTCATTGTTTTAAAGGGATACTGTGCTTTTTCATTGTTTTTTTTTACAATTATTACAACAGTTATCAGGTTACAGGGTGCATGAAAGGGTTAACTTTAAAGGTGATTAAAAAAAAAAATGGCCAAGTGCCCATATTTATTTTAAGCGTAGCTAGATCCATCCATCCAGTTTCCGATCCGCTTATCCTCACAAGGATCGCGGGGGTGCTGGAGCCTATCCCAGCAGTCTTCGCGCAGGGCACACAGACAACCAACCATCCACGCACACACTCACACCGAGGGACAATTTAGAGCGTTCAATCAGCCTGCCATGCATGTTTGTGGAATGTGGGAGGAAACCGGAGTACCCGGAGAAAACCCACACAGGCCGGGGGAGAACATGCAAACTCCACACACGGAGCTGGAATTGAACCCGGTACCTCTAACCACTGGACCACCCCGCGTAACTGGATAACCCAGTTAAAGATAAACACAATTTCAATCTGCCCACGGCCAACTTCAAACAGTTCCCACGGGTTGAACACAGGTTGGTCCTCCAAAGTTTTTTTTGGGTTAGGTCCCTGAACCACTACAGAGGATCAACCCCCCCAAGAACCGTAGCACAACAATTCTCACAGTCTTAAGACCTAACTAGTCCTCTCAAGATTTTCCGGTGTATCGAGAACCATTTGATAGGATCACCATCCATCCAGGGTTCATACATGATGCAAAAATTAAAGAGAGATGTTTTTGCAGTCTGTCAGTCTGGTTCTCCATAAGTTCCATGCATAAAGTCGCTGAAACTTTGAAGAGGGCCACACCTCAAGCAGTGTCGATACCATACCTCACAACTAAACAGCAGGCTTCATAACTTACCCCGAAGTAGACTCAGACAACAGTCTTACCAACATAAAGAAAGGCAACTGTCAATTGTCAGATTCAAATCATAGAAGAAAGTTCATGAAAGATTCTTGTTGATTCTCTTCCCCCTCCCCCATGCAGCCCTGTTGATCCTGCTGAGCCTCATCACGCTGCTAGCTGCGCTCCGAGGCTAACAAGAGTCAAGGAAAGCGGCGGACAAGGAGGCCGATGGTTCCGAAGACATTTACAGCGCTTTGCTGTACGCCTGTGAAAACACCACATCGTGTGTTCCGATACCATTTTCTGTTTGTATTCGTCCATTTGCATATATTCTTTTTTTGACCACTTCAACTGTGTAAAGACGCCCGCCCTTGTGTGGGATTTGCGTGGGGCCGCGATGGCTCGGTATGACGGGGGGCAGCCACCATGAAGGCAGCTCAGACTCGATTAAGACGCGTCTGGTCTGATGAGTTTGTACTGTTTGAGTTCGAAACCCAGTCCTCGTTCCACTTATTTGTTATGTGTTCATTTGTTATGTAACAGCAATGTAAAGTATTTATGGATGCCATAAAATAGCATGAATAAAGTTTGAAACTATGAGTAACTCTCGCATTGTTCAGATGTGACTTTATTCAAGTCGTGGGAAAATTATTCATTCACTCGTCACTTATGACACACACCCAAAAAGCTCTCTTCAGAACAATCAATATCGAGCGGCGACTTTCAAAGCAATTCAATTCTTAAGTATTCAGTAGTGTTCCACGGAACTTTTGACATGTCCAAAAAAAAGACATTAGAAGTCTGTTATTTTGGTTTAGGGTCATTTTAGGCATTTCCATGGATTCTTCAAACACTGACTCAAAAAATGTAGTTTGATTTGTACACTCTTGCAGGCAACGCTACACTGCGATCAATTTGAGTTGCCATTTTTGCCGGTGGGAGGGAACACCGGCCAGGTTGCATACCTCATCATTAACTACAAAGTCCTAATTGAACAAACAATGCTTGAGTCATTATGCTACAATTAAATCCGTCAAGGAAGTTAGTTCCTCAACAGCGAGGTGCTGTTGCCTCGCCTTAGAGTGCAACGCCAAACCTTCAAGGTTAAGGAAGTTGAAGCTGACTTTTCCTTCTGACAGCGTCAATCACTTATTCATTCCGCGCCAGGAGATAATGTTTTCATTGTCATTTGTTAGTGGAATTGTGCAAAAAGCAACTGCACTAAATTCCCATAACCACTGGTGGAGGTCCACGGCAGACATCAGGGTGTGTGAGACCTCACATCCGAAATGTGTCTTTGACTATGCACAGTCAATTCACACAGATTTTTATTTTTTTTTAGTTTCGAAATAAAAACAGTCCCCTTTCTTTACTTTCTGGAAAGAAACAACACTCTAAATTTTTATTTGATACAGTATTACCATTTAAAATGTGCAGTCCTCCAAATGTTTTGTGAAAATGCTAGCATAGACACTAAGTCCAAAACAAACCGTCGCATGTCATTTTAATATTTTATTGCAATTTATTCCTTTACAGTAAAACAGAAGGTGAAGAGTATAAAAATAAACGGGGGGTCAAAAACAACTGACAGACGGATGACGAGGGAGGCAAACCGACGCGCCTACAAGAGCTAAAAAGAAAAACGACAAGTGTGCGCACACATGTAGCTTGCCAGTTGATACGTGCTAAAATGAAGCTACACAGCAAGTCACAGCAGCCACAAATGAACACAATAACTGTGTGTGCGTGTGTGTGTGCCTGCCATGCTCGTTTCCGTGCACGTCTGTTTTTTTTTTTTTTTTTAAGTCATTATTGTTGTCAAATCCACATTGTGTGTGATAAAACTGAAGTCCAAGTTCCTACTAGTAGCTTAACACCGCAGTGAGGTGAGGTGCGGTTGGGCGGCGGCCTACGAGTCATCTTCTCCGTTGATGCTGTCGCCGTCATCGTCCCCTTCCACGTGCTCGCCTTCCTCCTCTTCTTCCTCCTCCTCCGGCTCTTGGCTCTTCGGCTGCACAGATCATCCCAGGGGCGAAATTGTTTTGTTCCCCGGGTCAAATTTCATGCATAAACGCACTCACACACGATAATAATATAGTCCAGCAGCATTTAAAAGAGCTTAGAATAAATTTTGATCCAAGTGAAACGAGAAAAACCAGATGATTTAGATATACGGTATGTGGCATGCAGAGTCAGCAGTCGGGCTGTCACTCGTGAATAATTTTTGTCATTATTCCATTTCTTATGATAAAATTTTTGCATGAAAACGCATTGCAAAATATATGTTTTTACCAGTTCCTGTTTAATTGAACATTGTGGTTTATTTGGTATTGTTTAACCACGAAACAAAACTAAATTAAGTGTGCTCTTTACGGATGACAGAAATCAGACACTACCTAGTGCTTAGAGGCTGAAATCAGGGAATTTGTGTCATTTTAAGATAAACGGTACCTCGAAATGATTCATGATCATCAAAACAATTGATCGAAACTGTTGACATCTCTATTCAGCAGTTTTTTTGAGGCGTCACCATACCTCCTCCTCTTCCTCCAGGAGGTCTCCTTCCTCTTCGTCATCTTCCTCCTCCTCCTCCTCCTCTTCTTCCTCCTCTTCGTCAGTGTCGTTAAGCTCCTGGTTGTCCCGCTCCCGCTTCAGGGCCTCATCCTTCTTGTTGCTAGGGTGAGGCGGGGAGGTCACCTCACCAGGCTCGGGCTGAACAGCTTTGGAATCTGCCGGAACGCAAACGTGACAAGTTACAAAAAAAACATCATTAAATGACAACTGCGCGCTCTTGGAGAGTTGCCTTCCTCCAGGGGTCTTCAATCCTGTTCGTTGAGGGCCGGTTTCCTGGATGACCACCTCTCCCTGCTGCTCAAATGATCAGGATGGTTAGCCAGCTTCTGCAAACTTTGCTGATTATCTGATCATTAGAATTACGAGGGTTGCAGCAGAGAGGTGGAAAACATCCAGGAAACTGGTCCTCCAGAAACAGGATTGTTCAGCCCTGCTTTGGAGTTTTGTGTTTCATGGTCATTTGAATGATGAAAACGCACCCGTGTCTAATCTGCAAGAGTACAATTTTTATGTGACAACATCTCTAGAACAAATAGTTAAAGGACCCCTGCGGGGGGATAAAAAAATCCCTTCAAAATCGAAAATCGCAGGCTTCCTGTGTCATTACGCGCATGGGTTCTTGAGATTTTTTTTTTTAAGCGGGTCCAATAGACATGCCACCCAAATGTGATTCTGACAAGTAAAAGTGGCTTTGGGGGCTGAATTTATAATAATTGTGCTTAAAAGTTCTGCATTGGATGGCACTCATCACACACACTAACACACAGTGTTACAAATTTTGGTCGCAAATACATAAACTTCCTGTCTTTTCAGGTATGCCTCTTTGTGGCTTTTGCAGTGTTTTTTATGGCAAGTCATGGGAGCAAGCCGCACCCACACGCAAAAACCAAAACAAGCAATTTAATTTCAGAGTGAGTATGGCAAATTTAGTATTACATTAAACTTGTTGGTTACGTTAGCCGTTGATGGACTCTTGCTATGGTCAAAATGGCTCTGACATGGCCCATTTAAAGCAAAATAGTAACTCTCATACCCATCTTCTTGCTGTGGTCCTTCTCCATGCGCTCCAAGCTGTCCAGGAGATCATCCACTTTGCTCTTTATTTGAGTCAACTCGCGCTTGATGGTCTGCAGCTCATCAATTTTCACTAAGAAGAAAAAGGGACAACATCAGACTGACGACGATCCACAGAGACCATTCGTGGGGCGGAGTGAGCGCCACTACTTTTTTTTCCCGCCACTACTTTTGTCTTTTTTTTAAAAAATATATATTTCAAGGTTTGTAATGTAGTGAACTCCAGCTCAACTCTGTAAAATGTTCGTTCACTGCGCATACACAGGTCTCTGCTTGAAACTATTGTTGTACACTTCGTATGTGCAACAGCAGTTGCCTGAAGGTTTACAATTTCCATTCTGTTAGCCTGAAGCGAGTTGTTCTTTATCAGATGAAATAACAGTCTGGTTAAATATTTGTGTTGTAACATACAAGATGTTATTCTCTTTTGTTTTATTTAGAAGTTCGACAGGAAAGTTCAACTGGGAGTACCGAAAACAGCTTGGAGTGAGCAAGTTTAGGTTTGTTACCATACAATCTCTCAAAATCAGATACTGCGGCTGGGTCTGGAGCGTATTCCCTGTGCTAAACAAGTGTTAACTGTACTCACTGCTTCGAGATGAGTAGGTCCTCTGGCTGCTCTTGGAGGATGAGGAGAAGCTGCTCTTGGTCCGCCGGCTGCTTCCGCCACCTCCACCGCCTCCACCTCCACCGCCGCCGCCGCTACTGAGGCTGACCCGCGGGCGCTTGGACGGGATAACGGCGCGAGAGAGCGGCGGAGGCGGGGCGGGCACGCGGGACGGGTACGAGTACATTCTGTGGCGTCACAACAAAATCACTGGAGGCCGGTTTCCGACAAGAAGGTTGTTTCTGGAGTGCGAGCGACAGACTCACCTGTCATAGTAGTCTCTCTGGAAGTCATAGTCCAATTCAAATGAGGAACTGCTGTATGGGAGAAGGGCGTGGGATTTGGGGGGTACTTTTGAAACTTGCCTTGGAATGTCAGGTAAAATATAGAATTGTCTCTGAGGTTTGGGCCCACTGTACAATGAGGATACTCGTTGCACTTACCTGTACATGTCACCAGCTGAACGTTTGCTGGTTTTGGAACGGTGTGGTTTGGGCTCTCCGGCAAGGTTAATGTCTGGGGGGGAAGAAAAAAAAAGGGATTCAAAGAAAGGACTCCCCCTGGAGACACCTGGCTGCAAATTGTGGTGAGTGAGTGAGAGGACATCACGCTCAGTAAAGGGTGGAAAGTGTTTTGTTTTTGTCTTTTATGGACTAATTTGTCCATGTTGGAGTGATTCGAAATTCAGTGTGAGGGTTTAGGTCAAATGTGGCAATGAGGTTTATTCAGCGTGGGGGGTCATGGCCTGAGTCAATAACGCTTTCAGAAGAAGAAAAAAATTTCTCAAGGAGGTCCGTCTTGGTGCTTTTGTTTTACGAAACGGCGTCAACTATCCAACCAGGGAAGGACTACCGTGGCGCAGCAAACATCCAGCCGATTATAATACAGAGAATACGGTAATAGTATGATTATGGTTTGAGTAAGAGTTAGTGTGCGAGTTTGCATTACTATCACCCTTAGTGTGAGGATTTAACTCATTCACTCCCAAAGACGTTTTTAAACGTCTTTTCAGACTTGGTTTAGAATTGGCTGGTACTGAATTGAGTTTTAAGGAAAGGTAACGGGTAGGTTTAGGTTTTGACATTTGTGTGTGCTCAAACTGACTCCAGTCCTTCCAAAGAGAGAAAATAAATATAAACATGCGTTTTAAGATGAGTGAGAGGGACTTCCTTACCAAGCACTTGGCCGACAATCATCCGCCCGTCCTCCCCGGCTACGGCAGAGCGGGCGTTGCGCTCGTTGGCGTATTGCACGAAGGCGTAGCCCTTGTGCACGGAGCAGCCCACGATCTTGCCGTACTTAGCGAAGATGGCCTCCACGTCGGCCTTGGTCACCAGCAGGGTGTTAAGGTTGC